CACTCTCACTTATTCACATTTCAGATTTATATATGGAACCATTGTTACAGACTTAGAAACTCAAAAGCAATTCGATACGATACTAAACGAAAATTCATGTTTCGTGAATTAATCAAATCGTTTGTTAGCAGAACACACAAACAGAGGCAAACAAAAAAATGAATTAAAATTTTGAAGAAACCGTAATGCAATTAAAAGAAGAGAAAGCTCGTACGTACCATTTATTACGATGGAATCTGGTTTAGATTTCCCTAAAACGATCTCGGCTCAACGAATCCCAATGGGAGAAACATCAACAACAAAATTTGGAGGAACAAAAAAAAATCCAAATCAGAATGATTTGCTTGTGAAATTCAACCAACATGGATCCATGGTAAAATCCACAACGAACATTTCCCTTTCCCAGCTTCAAACTTTCTGATCGACGTCAAAATTGAAAGGAAAAAACAAAAAAAAATAGCTACATGCGGAATTTTTTTTTCCTGACGATTGCAGTGACCTTAAACCCTCGTCGAGCTAATCATAAATGACCAGAACATATTGTTCTCCAGCTACAGATTTTCTCGCAGATCCTGAAGAATTTTCTCTCCTGGTTTTTTTCCTCTTTCGTCTTTCCCGTTGGAAAGCGAACGGAGAAGAAGAATCACGAAACTTTTTGATTCCGAAATTACCCCTTCATTAAACCGATCCGGTTTCGTAATCTCGATTTCAACGGATCGAGGAGGAAGAAAAGAGGAGACGACGAAGCGTCTTTATCGTTAATGGGCCAATTTGTTTTCCTAATGGGCTAAATTTATGAATTAATAATCATTTTATTATTTTTGTCCCATTTTCTGAAAAATCCAACCCCCTTCTTCATTCACTTCTGCTGCGTCTCCAATGGCGGGTTTCAGTTCTCTAATTACTAAAACGCCACTAAAACGCGCCGTTACCAGAGTCACCGGAAACCTAACGGCGCCGTTATCTCCTATTGCGACAGCTAGAAGCCTCTTCACCGGAGGAGTATGTAACGGAGTCGACAAAATTTATGGTTGGTATTGCTGATAAATTCGTTTGTATACTTACTTCAATGCGGAAGGATATAAACTATTCGATTTTTTTGGTTAATGAGTTCGAACTTTAGGTGGTCATTCCTTAATATCTGAGAATCGTGCATAATTGAAAAATGCTATATTATGTGACTCGGTATAAATTGTTACCTGGTTTGAATTTTGAGTTAAATTCTTCACATGTTCGGTATCTCTATGATGATTTTAAGACTGTTCTTGTGAAGTTCGTGAATCCTTTTAATTTGACACTTATTGTAGGTGCGTCTGGAGTGTTTCCTCATTTCAATGGAATAAGGTAAATGCTCGGATTTGGAATCTTTGGATCATTTCATTCACGTGTTGTGTGCTTTATTTTCAGTTTAGTCTGCTAATTTCATCCATGTTTAGGTTTTGTATTACTAAAAGCAAAACATGTATGCAAAATCCATTTTTTTTTTCCAAGCTGTATCTTATGTGTTGGTGTATTGACTCCCCTGATGCTTTATCGTTCTTCTTCAGAAAGCGCAGCGTCATTGGTAATGCTGGCGCACTAACTCGTCAATTTCATCATCTTCTCGGGGTAAGTTTTCAGTTGTGAAATGGTTTTTCCGTCTTAATAAACTTCTAAAACACTTGTACTCAGCCGTAGAAACCTGATTAAAGAAATTGATGTCTGGTGGTTAGGTTATGATAAAAGTTGAAACATTCGGTTTTTAGATTCTCTTTGTATACATCTCATTGTGTGTGCATGCTTTTTCTCATCGTGGCTGATTCTCATGTATCGCCTCTAGACGTGTGTGAAAACTGAGGTATACTAGAATACACTGAGGATTGGCTTTGTGCTTTGCTGTCAAAGTCTTAGTGTGAGTTCAATATATGTTTCTCATGCAGTGGCCTGTAGCTCTCAGTAGTTTCCATGTACTATTTTGATGTTCAAATATTATCTTTTCATGTACTTTTGGTTAGAAATGCCTGAGAATTGTGAATTTCATTGTCACTAACGAGATCCTTGGGATGCATTTTTTCATCTTGATGTAGGATGAGCAAGACGTTGCTTATTCATCAAAGAAGGAAAACGCTGAAACCCCGAGGAAACATCAACTTGGGGAGAACATACCCAAGAAGGATAAAATAAAGTTTCTCGTGAACACTGTAAGCAAAACAATTTAAGTCTTAAGATATTCCGTTGCCTTTCTAATGGAATATCGATGATGAAAATTTCCATATTCTTGTTCAACCTTGGTTTCTTGTTCTTATTGTCATTGCTTTATTCATTTGCATATGTATATAAAGTATAAACCCTTAATACGAGCTGGACTATGCAGCTTCTTGATATCGAAGATGATAAAGAGGCTGTTTATGGAGCTTTAGATGCTTGGGTTGCTTGGGAACGCAATTTCCCCATTGCTTCCCTCAAAAGAGTTATAGCTATTCTTGAAAAAGAACATCAATGGCATCGAATGGTCCAGGTATCTATAACTCGAATGTCTCCCCCTTTTTTCTCAATTTTGGGACTCATGAGCCATGATTAATCAAATACTCAGAGTGTATATCCTCTTATTATAGTATTTGAAAAAGTAGAATAGAATCTGGGAGAGGTTTATTTCTTTTCCCCTGTAGGTAATAAAGTGGATCCTAAGTAAGGGACAAGGGAACACAATGGGGACATATGGACAGTTGATACGGGCATTAGAAATGGATCGTAGAGCAGAAGAAGCGCATGCTATTTGGAAAAAGAAAATTGGGAACGACCTGCATTCCGTGCCTTGGCAATTATGCTTACAAATGATGCGCATATATTTCCGGAACAACATGTTACAAGAACTTATAAGGGTTTGTTTTTTTCATTCGTTCATAGGCTCTTTGGGTGATTTGCAATTAGCTTGGTTTATTCCTTGGTCGTATTTCTCGTTGATAGTTGACTGAACTAGTAAGTTATGTCGTAATTTTTATATTGTGATGACATTCAACTCGTGTTGTGTTTTGTTTGTTTGTGGGTTATGAAGTTGTTTAAGGATCTGGAGAGTTATGACCGTAAGCCTCCGGACAAGCACATTTTGCAGACAGTGGCGGATACTTATGAGCTTTTAGGAAATCTCGAGGAAAAAGAAAGGGTATTGACGAAGTATAGCAACCTTTTTCTCGGTACAACATCTGATGATAAATCAAGAAGATCTTCAAGAAAGAAGAAGAAACCAGGTAAGGGACTGATTTCGCACATGAATATCCTCAACCATCTAAAGCCATGACTACCAAACTCATGTGCTAGAAACCTTTAAATTCTTGCGCAAAACGGCATGATTTTTAACCTTTGATTTTCAGGACTGACGAATCCAGAAGCAACCACAGAGAACGCAGTAGATGCAGCAAAAGCTGAGTTACAAGAAGAGCTAAAAGAAAATATGGATAGCCACCAAGAATTACCAGAAGCTGCCACTGAGAAACGATCCGAACATGGAGCATAAGTTGCAAGACATGGAGACAAAGCTTAGACTCCTTGGTAATTGACGCGATGGATATAAACATGTTTAGCGTTTAAGATTTTGTTTTACCAAAAAATTAGAGTTGAAGATATGCTTGTCAAGAAGGAACAGCATAATCAGCTCACCCTTACCGAACTACAAACCATATTTGATTTACTTGACTTCGAAATTGGAAAAGGAATATACGTCACAATGTCACATAAATTATCTAAGCGTAAGAGTTAAGACCGAGAAAACAATTTCGGTTTTAGCAACCGATAAGGTGCTTAATCTGGTTTTGTTTCGGTTTCACTTTGGACATTTCGGTTTTTTGTTTGATAAATATGGAAAACCAAAAAGGATGCAATCTGCCAAACCGGGTTTGGTATAGATTAGATTAGGCCCCTACCGAAAATAGAAGCTCCGGTTATAGCTCTTACCGGGGATTGGCATAAAGGGCAGAAAAAAACGGTAATTATAAGGATTCGAAAATTTAAGGGATTGCGGGAGATCTTGATAATTTCAGATTTTCTGATAGCGATTAGTCTGTGAAGAATCAATTTCTAGGGTTTTGAGGAGTTGTCTTCGAAGCTGGAGATGAGAAATGTTCATATCTCTATGAGCATTCGAAATTTCAGATCTGCGTACGATCATCGACAAGGTCAGTCAAGTGACAGTGAGATAGTAATGTTTCGGGATGGGTCATGGATTGGTTCACCGAATCGAGACGAATTGTTTCCATTTTCCAAGGGAAGACCAAAGAGGAAAGGTTTTGGAGAAATCAATCAGACATCAAAGGCCAAAGTCACCATCCGATTTAGGTAAGATTTGGATACGAAGACAATTGAATTACTAAAAACTTTGGAAAACCTCATAGAAATCTATAGTGACGTATTCCTCAACACAAAACAATCAGATTGGTTCATCAAAGGCTAATCTTGTGATTATCGACAAGGTTAGTCAAGTGTGATAGTAATGTTTCGGGAGTAGGTCATGGATTGGTTCACCGAATCAGACATCGGATGGTTTCCATTTTCCATTTTCCAAGCTTTTGGAGAAATCAATCAGACATCGAAAGCCAAAGTCACCATCCGATTTAGGTAAGATTTGGAAAACGAAGACAATTTAATACAAATGTACAGTGATGTGTTCCTCATCAACACTATAATTTCCAGTCAAAGAAAG